TATATATATATGTATATAAGAATGATTAACAATTAATTAGGTTAATCAGTTTAATTTATTATGGTTAATGAAATTAATTAATTTTAATTTAAATGAATTAATTATATTTATTGACTTTAATTTAGGATTATTAGATTTATTTAATGATTTTAATTAAAAGTTGGTAAGTATGATTAATTAATTTTAATTAATATCAAATTAATCGTTCAATTAAACTAATTATCATGATTAATTAACTTAAGTCCTTAATTTTCTTTAATCTGGCTCAGAGTCAAAAGTACCTTTATTTATTTCAAAGTTCACCCAAAGTTTTCATAATTAAGCAATTTAGTGCATGGGTTCCAACACTTTTCAAATCAATCTTCCATGTTTTGAATTTAATCAAATCAATCCTTCATCTTTTGAATTTAATCAAGTTAGTCCCTTAACTTCTTGTTTATGTTATTGTACATGCATGTCTTTGATTTAGTCCATTTTAATCCAAAAATTAAAAAATGTTTCAATTTGGTTTCTCTTTTTCAAGCTTGCTTGTTAAGACCTAAATACAAATATAATAAATAAGTTGAATTAAAACCCTAATTTTAAAGTATGCAACTGTGTTTAAACATAAGATTATGAGGTGCGCATATGCCCTTTTTTCACTCTAACTGAACCTCCGAACTTTGATCTTTGCACAAATCTATTTTAGGTGACTTGTCCCACCTTATAATTTGGACGAGTGGCAACTCCTCCTTTTCTTATTTTTTACACTTAAGTTTTTCATTGTTTTGAAATCTTAAGTGGTCGTTAACAAATTAGCGACTCCACTGGAGACCCAAACCCAAAATCTTTGGTTTTCATATTCTGTGTTCACGAGGATCGAGCTAATACTTTAACTTTGGGGATTTTTTTTTTTTTTTTTTTTTTTTTGAGTCTTTGTTGCTTGTTGCTTGTTGCTTGTTGCTTGTTTGCTCATTGTTTTAGTGGTTGCTTTGATCTTTTGTCTTTGAGTAGTTACATTGCTACATCTTGACCTGTCTCTTATATATATCTATGTAATTAAAATTATTTAGATATCAATAAAATTTTAGTCTTCTATCTAAAAATAAAATAAATTTTCAATCTCTTTTAAATATTTAGGTCTTAATGTATCTAGGGTCT